TTTAGGGGCTTAAGAACAGTGATGTTCTGGTAAACCACTTCTCAAAAAAAAAAATTTTTTTTTCAAAAGCCCAGATTTGTAGTATTTGTTGATTTCTGTGGGGTAAATACTCCCACTGAGGCTCCCACCATAATAGCCCCTACAGGCTGGTGGCAGCACACTGCAACTCAAACTTCTGATGGTAGATTTGCTCTGTGCTGTCCTGCTTTTTCAGTCATTCACGTTAAGATTTGCCAGAATACATCCACTAATGGTGTGTATTGAGACTTTATAACTGTGTGGAGAAGGCAGCATCTGAATATTTTATGCTGTTATAAAATGATACTGGCTAAAGGTAAAGTTTTTTCTGTTTTTTCCTCAGATTAACAGCTGATGATTCACTCTGTTCTCATACATTGCATTTTTAAGAGGGAAAATGCTTTTTTTTGTTTTGTTTTTCAGTGATGAAGTCAAAGAAATAATTCTTATTCTGGTGAAAATAAAAGCTTTGAATCAAGCAGAATCCTTCATAGAAGAGTATCACCTAGACCATCTTAAATCAGTAATTAAAGAAATTTGAGTAAACTTTATAGGAAAGTACTAAAATGAGATTTTAATATAGTCACACTGGGCTCCTTTGCTTGAAAAACAGAAAGCTGGTGCCTCTTCGTTATTCCCAATAATGGAGGGGATGATTTACCAAAAAAAAAAAGCAGGACTCCATTTCCTGCACTTTCTGCTGTCATGAAAGGCTGCCCCTCTGATTCTGCAGTGTTTGCAGGAATTCAGCACATGGGAGCAGTAAGAGTTGAACATACTTCCCTTTGATTCTTTTGACTTCTTTTCCAACTTGAGAGGAGTTGGAGAAACCTTGCTTGTAGCTGTTTTGGCTTTAGTGAGCCTTCTCTCGTGATCCATAAAAACATCTTTTAGTTCTCTTCATTTTAACCATTTCTATTGCCAAATAAGTTAAAATGGAAATCCTAATTGGAATGAATTATTTGTTAAGTATTAACTGATTCAGGCATTTTAAGGCTTTTAATAACTGTCAGATTGTCCTTCAGAAATGTGTACCAGTGTGTTCTACCAACACAAGTGTACTAGAGGCCAGTGAATCCCCACCAGCAATCAGTATTTCCATTTTTTTAACTCATTGCAAATTTAATAGGTGAAAAAAATCTTACTTTGTTTTAACTATTAGAGAGTGAATATTTGTTTTTTGGCCATTTGTAATTCTTTTTGAAATATCCGTTCATCTTTTTCTTATGAAATTGTAAGAGCTTTATATTATAAAGATATTGGTGTCTCTTCTATGTTTTCCTCATTTGCCATTTTTCTTTTAATTTTGTCTATGATGTTTTGGTGTACTAAGTCATTACTTAGGTAGGTAGTACTCTTTTTTGTTACGATTTTTGTCATTGGTGGTGGGCTTAGGAAACAGGTATTTTAAATGTTCCGAACATGTGATTCATTTTCTGATAAAATATTTGTATAATTAAGATCTAAGGCAAGGTAATTGAATCAAAAAGAAATTGAGAAAAATTTTCAAAGCAAGAGTTTACTAATAATTTTTCTTAAACCTATTTGTTAAATAACTC